TGCAGCTCCTGGCCTTCTCAGCACGTTCCTCATAGCAGTAGAACTTATTTTTAATGCCTTGGTTCTTGCTCCTTCATTATATGTCATCTTAGGAACTCTTTAATCATCGTCCTCGCAAGAGTGCCTACTGATGGTCCAGGTACATGTTTCAATCTCCCCACAGACACACGATAGTCATAGCGGATAGTCACTGTATGCTGCCTGACACGTTTTTATCGCATTCTGACAAGTTGATTAAAAAATACTTTTATTGATTTGCTTCAGAGTGAATTAAAACAGCGCTTCTCAAACTAGAAGGTGCAAACCAATCTCCTGGGAATCTTGTTAAAATGCAGATTCTGGTTGGGTAGGCCTAAGAGTCTTCATTTTTACCCAGCTCCCAGGTGATGCCAGCGCCATAGATTGTACTTCGTGAAGCAAGGGATTAAAAGACAATGCTAAGCTAGGAAGATTCAACATCATAAAAATGTTAGCTCTGTTTAAACTGATCTGTGAAATCATGGCTTTCCAATTAAAATAACAAGATTCTTTTAAAGGACTTAAGTAAATTGGCCCAAAAATTCTTTTGGAAGATTAAATAAGAATATCTCCCAAATTCTTAAGTAAATGGGTGGACTAGCCCTACCAGATACTGAAACATGGTATGAAATTACAGTATTAAAAACAAGCTCATGAATAAATTGGAAGATCTAAGAAAAAATATAAGTCCTATGATGAGCCCCATTTCAGATCACATATATGTCATATATTATCAAGTATCTGATGAAGTTTTGAGATTGATGCATCTAGTTTATGATAAAGATATCTTTGCAGGGAGGCACAGCCAGATTATTCAATAAATGATTTGGGATGGTGAGGTAGCCATTTAAGAAGAAACAAAGTTATGGTGAAATTAATCCAGAGGTATCAGAGATTTAAGTATAAGTGATAAAAACATTAAAAGTCCTAAACTTAATAGTGGGAACATTTTTAATTATAATCCTGGAGTGGGGAGGACTTTTGAAGTATGAAACCCAGAAACCATGAAATCAATAAAGTGATAAAAATGAAGTTTTTCCTGTGCAACAAAAATCATCATATACAAAGGCATAAAAATAAATAGCCAGAAAAATGTGTTGATTTATATCACAGGGAGTTAATTTTATTAAAATATAAATATATTTTACAAATAAGAAAAAATCTAACAAAAAAGTAGAAAAAATGGGCAAAAGTTTTAACCAGTTAACAGAAAAGCAAAAAAATCTCAAACATATGAAAGATGTTCTACCTCATGCATAAGGAATGCAAAATAAAGCCATAATGAGATACCAATTCCCCCCTCCAAGATTAACAAAGATAAAACATTTGGTAAGACTGTTGAGAGAGTGGGGAAAACACAGGCCATCTCAAACACTGCTGCAGAGGCAAAATTGGCTTGATTGTTCTAGAAGGTGATGTAGCACTCTTTACCAGACGTACATATCTGCTCAGGGCAGGGCTTCTCCACCTGGACACCACTGACGCTTTAGGTCCGACAATCCTTGTGGGGGCTGACCTGTGCCCTGTAAGGTGTTTAGTAGCATTCCTGGCCTCTACCTACCAGGTGCCAGAAGCACCTCCTGGGTTTTGACAACCAGGAATGTGTCCAGGTATTGCCAGATGTCTCCTGGGGGCAAAATTGCCATCTCAAAACAGACAGTTTCACTTTCAGTAATTCATCCTACTGATATACTTGTATATTTACAGTATGGCCCATACCGGGAAGATTAGTAATGACAGCATTGTTTATGGGAACAGCAGAAGTTCGAGAAACTAAGTGACTTTTTTGTGAGGACGGCTATACAATGGAAAATGATGCAGCTGTTATAAAGAATGAGTCGTTTTTGTACGCACTGATATAGGAAGAGCTTCAGTATTTATTAAGCGAAAGAAAGTTGGAAGAGGAAAAGTGAATAGCAGTGGCTATTCTTTGGGCAAAAAAGGGAAATATGTAGTTTATATGAGTGTAGATCTCTAGAAGAATGCACAAAACCTAAAAACAGTGCATTCTTCTGGGACGGGAACTGTTGGCCAGGCAGTGGCCGAGTAGGATGGGAGATGGTCACTCTGAACTTCTATACCATTTGAATTGAATGTATTACCTATTCAAAACAATTGTTAAAGCAATAAAAGAACATTGCTGATTCAAAGAATCCACTCAAAGAGAAAAATGCTAGTTACTTTTACTGTATGATAATTTCTTTTAATTAAAAAAAAATTTTTTTTTCCCTGAGAGAGAGACAGCATGAGCAGGGGAGGGTCAGAGAGAGAGGGAGACACAGAATCTGAAACAGGCTCCAGGCTCTGAGCTGTCAGCACAGAGTCGATGCGGGGCTAGAACCCAAGAACCGTGAGATCATGACCTGAGCCGAAGTTGGACGCTTAACTGACTCAGCCACCCAGGCATCCTTTTGTATGATAATTTCAGAAATAAAATTTAAAAAGAGATTCCTCAAAACATTGACTATTGACCCAGCAGTTCTCCTTCCGGGTATATACCCAGTATAACTGAAGCATGAACTTGAACAGATGCTTGGCCACTTATATTCATAGCAACATTGTCCATGATAGCCAATGGGAGGAAGCCACCCAAGAGTCCACAGACAGATGAATGGAGAAGCAAAATGTCATGTATACATACAGCGGAACATAATTCAGCCTTTGATGGGAAGGAAATTCTGCATATACTACTACATAGATGAACACTGAAGATATTGTACTCAGTGCAATAAGCCAGTCATGAAAGGACGAAGATCACCTTTATATGAGGTACCTGAGTAGTCACATTCATACAGACAGAAAGTAGACTGGATGTTGCTGGGGCCTTGGGGGAAGTAGTCATGCGGAGTGTAGAGGTTTAATTTTGCAAGATAAAAAAAGTTCTGGAGATGGATGGTGAATGTACTGAGTGCCACACAACTGCACACTTAAAAATGGTTAAAATGGGCAATTTTATGTTATGTATACTTTACAAAAAGATAGGAAGGTGAGTTGAGACTGATCAAACCAAAATATGCTTAAATACATAGTTTTCCCCCAGAAAACCCACCAAACCTAAAAAATCAAAATGAAGACATATTCCTTAATGAAGAAAGAAGGAAGGCAGGGAAAAATACTGTTTTAGACTGCACTTAGTGTTGCTTAACTGGATGAAAATATCACCAGTTGTAAAAAAATAATAATCAGAATCAGAATCTTGCGATTCTTCCCACTCCTTTGAAAATTTCAACATTATTTTGAGAACTACATTGAAACTGGGGAGAGACGCCAGGACCAGTAAGTCCAGTAAAAGCCAGAACCGCCAGGGATGCCTGTTTGATTGGTCCTTCCCAACCCAGGACCGGGCCAGGGCCGAGGCCGTCAACAAGAGGCTCCGCAGACAGCTGGCCGAGTTCCGAGCACCTCAGGTGATCTTGTACGTCCGGGAGAAGATCCTAACTGGGGACCTGGAGAAGACTGTCAAGATGTGGGAAAGGAAAGTGGAGATTGCAGAGGTAAGTCTCAGAGAACCCCAAGATGGGCAGCCTTTCACGTCCTTCGCATTTTTGCCTAGGGTTTTGTTTTTCAAGCTAAGTGAGCCGGTGTTCGGACAGGTGATGTCTGAGAGAGATCTGGGCAGTCACTTCAAGTCTTTAAGGAAAATGAAGGATTTTCCTTTTTTCAAGTTCCCTTTTCAGTGTTAGGGACAAGAAGAGACTCTGTAGTAATGGTGTGTTTTAGTTGCTTGTTTTCTCAGTGAATTTTGGAAGCTTTTGAATCCCTTCCCCACCGTCGGTGATACAGTGATTGCTACTTTATACATGGAGAAGCCAGTTTTTTTAAAAAATTAGATAATGGATTTTTAATATCACTCAGAACTTGATACCATGCATTTACATAGTTGCCCTGGGTCTTTCATTTTGAGAACCCCGCAGTCTTTTCCTGGGACACAGTGTGCTCAGAGCAGCCTTGCCCCAGGTGAGCGCCGGGAGAAATGGGAAACAAAATGGGAATCCTGAGAAAGAGGAAAGCCCCCGGGCTGCCACAGGCCCCTTGCAGGCTGAGGACACCTGAGACATCAGTTAGAGTAGCTTAAAAACCCAGTCAGGGCCTTTGGGAAGCCTGGTGTGTTCACATCTAGACCTGGGCTCCACTTCCCACAGGACTTTCTCCTGCCTTTCCCGTGGTCCCTTAGTAACCGAGGGTGAATTAAGATCTGAACTTGGGCCCATCAGATTTGGAGCCGGGAAGTAGCAGAGAAGCAGGGCAGGAGCCTGTAACTTCTCACTTCACTGGACAGAAACCAGCTGTCTGGAAGACTCTTCCAGACTGGCACCGCCTCACACGGAGTCACCTGCCTGGCCACAGGGCTGGGTGTGGGTTGCGTTCTGAAAAAAGTCACAATCGCTTTTTCCCAAATGACCTTCTCCCCCCATCCCCTTTTTCCTTTTTGCAGATGTCCTTAAAAGGCTACCGCAAGGCTTGGAATAAAATGAAAACCACCAATGAGCATTTGCAGGCAATTTGCCCCCCTGGGAAATAGCCAGAGGGAGGCCACAGCTGCAGACCAGCGTGATCCATTAAAGTAATCAGCTCCTTTCCAGTCAAGGGGTCCTCTCACTGCTCCCTGTGCTGCTCGGTGCCCCCCAACTCTCCAGCCATGCTGATGCGGCCCTTCCCAGGCCACATTTGCCCGTGGGGAGTGTTTTCACAGCCTGGCCCCTGCAACGTTAACACTGAAAGAACCACAGGGCACTCTAATGGTTTGACACTTGTTAGCCCACATTTAGTTCACAGGCACAAATGAAAGTGACCTTCCCGCATGTGGGAGTGGGACAGAGGAGGGAGAGCCAGCCCGCTGTGCGCCCTGGGCCTATCCATGGCAGCCAAGGTGTGTATCTAGCAAAAACAGACACCATTAAACAGACAGCAGAACAGAATGGTGACTGCCCAGCACTCAGCATTCTGAGCTTACTCTTCAGTTGGGAGGGTTAAGTCCTAGACTAGCTACCATTGCAAAAGAAAACAAGCACAAAGAAAAACAAGATAATTTCTTGGGACTGATGTGACCTGTTCTGACCCGAAATAGGCCCTCTACTCTCCCCAGAGTCCCTGCCATAATAGTCATAGTACATGGGTGGTTCGGCCACAGCAGAAGACCTGCCTAATTCCTTTAACCTTTTCCCCCTGATGTCCAGACTCTTTCTAGAGCTGTTTGCTGGCAACGAATGTATGGTGGCCTTTTTTTGTCCTTGCGAGTATGCTTGCGACCATTCACCTTGGCCCAGCCCAGAATGTTTTCTTTGTGTAATGGTGAAATGTGCTTTGTAGTTGGGCAAAAGCAGCGAATTCTCCCAGTGGTGGAAAGAAGACAGTGGTCGGCTGGTTTTCTTAGTCTTGGACATAATCCAATCGCTGTAGTCTTCCACCTTGATGTACATAAAAAAGCCAGGGCATTTGTCACCACCATGGGTCAAGATTCCTCTCAGCACCCACAGATTCAGTTGCTGTAGCTGGCATACCATGGGGTTTCCTGGGTCCCCCTGTGACAAAGGACAGAAGGCTTCAGGTCTTAGGAAAACTCATTTTCTTTTTAAATATATCCTTGTGCAATTTACTGTTTGTTCCAGAAATGTTTTACACTGGTTCTTACTGGAGAGGGGGTAAATTATAGGATACTATTTCCAATCTAGGCAGCCACCACCACAAATTCTAACAAGATGAATTTTTCTTTTATTGTGCAGATTATTTACAGGCTTCTGCTGTTTGCCTTTAGCTTCCTGGTTCCCATTTCATTTTCATGCCCCTTTGACTGAATCCTCACCCTCTCTTGGTTTCTCATCCCTCCAATGTTGAGAGAGAGAGGAAGATACATATATATATATATATATATTATAAGATATATATATATATTTCTTTCTAGCCTGGAATGCTCACATTTTCCCTTCTCCTATTTTGTTTCCATCCTCAATTTAAGCTGCTGCCTCTGTCCCGCACTCCTGCCAGGGTCAGCGTCACACTTCCCGGGGAGCACCCACCAGGCGGGGTTCACGGCTTTCCCACCTGGCAGCTGCCCGTCAGTGCACCTGCTCACCAGCCCTGCCCATGCTCCCAGCCTTCCTCTGGGACTCGGGAGTTCCACCACACAGACCTCACTCCCTTCAGGGGAGGGCACAGAAGCTTTGCACGCCTACCTAGATGTGTGCCCTGGGCGAGTTAGCGACTTCTCTCTGAGTAAAGTGCAGAGCCCTAACACAGTGCCTGGCACACAGTACACCCTTAATAAAGAATTAGCTACTATTATCCTGGTGTCTATAAAAGGCCATCACTTTTATGTGAAAAGTTGAGAAATACGGGAATAGCAACAAGGCAACTGCTAGGTATAATTTACCTTAACTTCTCCGGCCCCAAGCCTCCCCTTAAGGGAATACCTGACCCCATTCCAAACCTGTGGTCCATCTTGCCCCAAGAAGGGTTGTCATTCAAAGGCTGGCCAGCCCCTTAGACCTACGTGGCCCACCTGTGTAGCAGGACTGGGCAAACACACGGTGCTCTCGCTGCCCTGTATGCCATGGAGCAAAGGACAGAAATTTCATCGCCAGGCCTGGCTGGCTGTGCTAGGACTGTTGATCGGGCCTGCATCTGCCCCCTGTCATGTGTGCCTGGGGCAGAGAGGCCATCTGGCCAAGCGTGGCATGCTCAGTTCCACCCCCAATTTGCTTTAACTATGGTTCCATAGCTGGAGGAAGAAAAATAGTGCAATTTAGGATGAATTGTTGATGAATGGATGATTGTACAGTAGACCTCCCCGGCTATTGCATTGTTTTGCAAGGTGCCACTCTGCCTGGGTGTAGAATACACAGCTTATCCCCTTCCTCATAAAGCGTAAAAGACCCAACTTCTGAAGCCCAAGCAGCTGAGAGAGAAGTACCCGGTATTCCTCTGGAGCAGCCCCAGCTTAAAGGGGCTCTTTTACTGTGTGATCCTTAACCTTGACATTGAACAAAAGCCTTACCAGTGTGGGGAAAGGAGGTGGAGTGGGTTCAGAGTGATTCTGCTTTTGTTGGGTTTCTGGGAACCCATTAGTCAGATATCGGATTTAGGTGGTTTATTCTTCATATTTGAAGTATGGCTTTGAGGACCTCTGGACTCTAGGACATATTTCCAAGAGAGGAAAGGATCCTAGGTAGACAAGTCACCATTTATTTTTCTGAGCCAGTTTGTGAGCACAGTTTAACTGTGCTACAGTTAAAAACCAGTCTACACTTTGCAGGTAGATTTGAAGAGGTGATTATGTAGAGTAGAAGCAGCTTACCATATCCCACTGAATCTAAGATGCTCTTGAAAAATTAACATCTTTTGGGGCACCTGAGTGGCTCAGTTGGTTAAGCTTCTGACTGATTTCAGCTCAGGTCATGATCTCACAGTTCGTGGGATCAAGGCCCCACTTCTGTGCTGTCAGCACAGAGCCTGCTTGAGATTCTCTGTCTCCCTCTCTGGCCCTCCATCACTCACACTCTCACTCTCTCAAAATAAATAAGCTTAAAAAAAATTAACTTCTTTGGAATGATATACATCTTCTAATTGGTTGATATCAGAGTTTAACTGGCAGCATTTTCTCTCTCTTGGTATTCTACACAATAATGGTGCATTCCACAACTGACAGCATCTTAGAGTTGATGAAATATGGTGCTGGATTGAGGGACTGCCTCAATGATCTAACTTAAAAAGTTGCTAGTCTTCCACCTGCTAGCATGCAGTACAAAGTGAACACTCAATAAATGTTGAACCAGCTTTGGAAGGGCAAACTTAACTGCGTAAAGAAAGGCAGTCCTTCATGGATTTGCAATAAAATTACTTTTAGAAAGAATTGTCCACATATGTGTATTCTTCCCCCTTTCTCTAAAATACTTTCCCTAGATCATCTGGACAAAAAATGTTCCCCATCAGGGAATCCTGAAAGTTACTTTGAAGGAGAGTAGAGATTAGAAGTAGTAGAGAGTAGACATTTTGCAGTAGAGGAGACAGACTGCCTGGAAACCTGGTAGACCTGAATTCTCGTCCTTACTATAACATTTATTAACTGCATGATCCCTATAAGCCCCCATCTTCTATGGGTGTGGACAAGAGGGAGACTGGACCAGGGGCTTGTCGGTTCCACACATTTTGCTGAGGTAGTAAGACAGCCACATCTGTACAGCCCTCATCTGATTGGAGGGCAGGGCTTATTACAGAAAAAGAGCCAAAAAACCCCAATAACTGATGAGCAATAGCATCAGAGTCTAGATTCCACAGAAGCTGAATACAGTGACACCCACCCTGTAGACATGCTCAAAGTATACATGGTTTGGACTCACACTTGCAGACTTCTAGCCAGTGAAAAACCTCCTATGACTTAGACATGCTTAATCGTGTCACATTGAAAATAGTGACTGTTTAGTCCACTTGGTAGATTTTTATTGAATATCTGCTATTTGCCAAGTACCATTCACCTCAGAGACAGCCATGAATCCGAAGTGACAGTCCCTACCAATCCCTCACAGAGTTCACCGCGCAATGAGAAAGAGTCCCAAGACTCCCTTGAAGTGACCACTGCTTACTCTCCGCCTTTAGCTTTTACTCCATTATGTTCTTACCAAACAGACAGCATCGGTTTCCTGCTCTATGTGATTGCCACATCCTGTTTTCTTGAGTTTGTGTAAGGGACACATGTTGATGTCTTTCACGGAGATTTTCCTCAGAATACTCATCGTCATGTGATTTCCTGTCTGGACCATGCAACAAAGAGCCAAGAATTATTAATGAGAAGACATTGCCTGTGTTAACTACAACTCACGTATCCAGATGGGAATGAGTAGAAAATATTCTGATAAACTTCCCTGTTCTCATAGAAATCAGAAACTGTGTCTGAGTTGTTCTGAAAACTACCTTTGCTTTGAACTTGAATATGAAAATAGGGAACATATTCAAACTTCTTCCACATCGACAGAGAATACATTTCCTTGCTCATTTCCCAAGAATAAAAGAAAACAAGGATGGCTTGGCCAGGAGGGCAATCAGCTTCAGTTCAGGGAATAATGTCCCCTGACCTCTCCCTTCAGGCCTTGCCCTCCCTTCAAACTGTTTACTGACTGTGCTCTTCTAATTTGGGTGTAGACCTAAAAGAAATAGGACCAAATGTAAGAATGGGCACAGAAAGACAAGCATTGGGAATCCTGACTGATTACACAAGGGTTCCAGCCCAACTCTAGAATCTTGAGCGATGGGAATTATGAAGATAAACCCTAGAGCAGTTCATCCAAGTCGCCCCCACTGCTCGCACACACACAGCCTCCTCTAGGAGAAGGAAGGCATTAACTGCAGACGTGGGATTCCATCCTGCCACCCAGCAGTTCCGCAAGGCTGGTGGCTTATGCAGCTTTCTGCCAAGGAAGCAGATGGGTCCGACCAAGTTGCTGAACCGCATCGCTGTGTCTGTCTTCAGGAGAGCTACATTATTGTTCATGGTCTCATTATTAAAATCCTCATGGATGATGATGGTGTTGACTGGATACTCTTCATGAGCAATCACTTTGGCATCCATCTTAGCTATGCCAACCATAACAATGGTGTCCTTCCTAGAGAAAAAGCAAGGGACTCTTTAGAAGCCAAGGCGGCATGAAAACTTCACACCTTCCTTTTCATATTTACTATTGGGGGGAGGGGGTTGGAACACTCATCCAACTCATTTTTCCTGGGCTACTTTTCACTCACCCCTTTGGACCCAGTCCCCAGGAAATCTTTTCTGAACTCCTAGGCTCATGTCCTCCTTTGTGAGCCCATAGCATCTTGGGAATTCCTCTATCTTAATGTCATTTGTCCCACCACCCAAAGATAATCTGTTATGGCTATCTTTTTTTCATGCTTTTTCCATAGTTTTGGGTTTTTTGGCTTTTTATAGTCATAGTTACACCAAAGATGTAACCTTGACTCTTGATTTCAGAACTTAACATTTTAATAGAAACAGCTTTTCATATTACATACTCTGTAAATACTCTTTAGAGAAATTCTGATTATAATAGTGATGGAGTTCATTTGGTTGTTTTCCTTTCTCCCCTTGGGGACCACCCAAGGGACTAAAAGAATGAGAAACAAATGCTGAAAAAAACACCGTAAAACGAAGAGACACTAGAGAATCCAAACCTCAGAATCAGAGGCAGTGCTGACAACAGCAGTAAAAGATGGCAGGAGCACAGGTGTTCTAGATGGTACCTACCCCCACAAAGTCAGGAAAAGCTGGTCAAACATGCTTCTCAGCAAAGAAGTAGAAAGAAAATAAACAAAACCAGCACCAAAATAACAGCCAAATTGGAAGCTGCATAAAGAAGAATAGAGAACACAGAAAATACAATAAGGGGCACAGGGCAGAGGACTGAGAAAAGTAACCAGACTAAAATGGACATTAACAAAGATTTTTTAAAGGAGAGAGAGGGGAATGACAAATATGGCAATCAATGGAGAGCCAGCAGATCACAAAGAAAGTAACCCAAATAAGACAGAAAAAAGATTTTAGGATCTAATTTTGGGAAGTTTTCTGGAAATAAGCCTTTGCTCTGCAGTTTGGAAGTGTACTCCACACCCTAGGGAAAAAGCAATACAGAATGGTCAACATGGAAACATATCCTTGTCAGCTCCCAGCAGGAAACAGATGGCACACTCAAGGTAAGTTGGGGAAAGTTTAAGGGATTCTTTACAGTGGTCTTGGAAGGATGTAGAGACATCTCAAAGAATAGTTCAGTACCTGGGTGTCACGTGGCAAATGCTCGGTAACAACAGGGTGCCGGTGTGCCTCTGGGTACTAGAGGGGAGGGAGTGGTCAGAGCAGAGGGAGTGGGTCACTTGGCTGGAGGGGGCAGCCAGGCTGCAGCACCCCTCTGGGGAATAAGGACCCTGCTCTCGCCCTCCCACTTCCTCTGGTCTCTTGCCAGTACTCCCCTTGGCCTAACCTGGCTGGAACCTTGGAGATAAGAGTAACATTGGTGTAACCCACACAGGTCAGCCTCCTGGGACCCAGAGGGTAGAAGAGAGTAGAGAGTAGATGGGAGAGATGCTGCATTGTTAGGAAAGTTGCTGGACTTCTGTGACAAAGAAGGAATCCTTGGTCATCCAAACAAAACCAGAGTAAGTCATCTTGAGTTTGGCCATGTAATTTGTTGCCTAACCCAGGGAACTTGAGAGAGTGAAAGGGGACACTCAACAGCAGGACCTGTGTGAACCAGACCTCTCCCAGGGGCACTGGGATGAGTGGTCCTGTACCTAGAGAGGAAAAGAGCAGATTGGCCTCAGGCTTCTCCTCAGCTAGACTTAACACCAGAAGCCTTGGTGGTTGGGAGGTGGGGGCTGTGGTGGTAATGCCTGTTAAGTCTCAAAAAGAAAGAAGGCATGATCCATGAATTCTACACTTGTCATTCAGGCTTAAGGCCAGCACATTTGGGAGTATGCAAAACCCAAGGAAATATGGTTCTTTGAGCCCTTTAAGAATTGACATACTTGAAGACAAATTTTAGCCAATTCTAGTGTCGAATGGAGAAAATCCAGCAAAAGGACCGTCAGTAAGTGTGGAGTTCGTTATAACATTGGACTAAAATTAAAACCTTTTTAGTTTAGGTTAGAGTCAAAATGTAAACTCTGGCAGTAATCACATGGTATAACTGAAGCTAAAAAGAAAGTCGGAACGTAGGTATATATGTCAGTTTTCTCATCTTTTAAAGGAATCTAAACATACTTGTTTATAGCTAATATGTAAAATAATAAGGATGTGCAAATATATATGTGAATCAAGGTAAACAGTAAAGCATGTGTATGTTAAAATTGTGTGGCTGAGAAGGAGGGAAGTAGTAAAAGGACAGAACTTTTGCCATTGACCACAGTAGGCCTCTAAAGAGGACAGTCCAGGGGGATCTGGGTGGCTCAGTCACTTAAGCATCTGACTTTGGTTTAGGTCATGATCTAAGGGTTTGTGAATTCAAGCCCCGCGTCAGGCTCTGTGCTGACAGTGCAGAGCCTGGAGCCTGCTTTGGATTCCGTGTCTTGTTCTCTCTCTGCCTCTTCCCGCTTGTGCTCTCTCTCTCTCAAAAATAAACATTAAATAATAATAATGATAATAAAGAGAACAGTCCAGAAAGAAACTGAGGATGTTGTTGTCTTCCATGAAATTATAACTCTAAGGTGAACACCAGAACAAAAACTAAAACTTTCCAAAGAGACATTCAAAACAAAACAAAGGCCATAATAATGAAAAGACAAACAAGAAGCCACAAAAGCAGAAAACATAACCTAAAATGAAAACAAGAAGCAAGGGTTTCATTCAGAACATCACTTTAGAGCAGAAGAACATGAAGTAAGACAGAAAGGCTCTTAATGATGAGAAAGAATTCAGTCTACAGTGAAGACCTTGTCATAAACATCTGCAGCATGTGACATAATGTTTATAAAGGAAACACACCAGGAAATAGGGGAAAGAACCAGAAGCTTGTTCATGATACATTTTAACTCCCCTCTTTCAGCCTAGGAAAGATCAGAGAGAATCCCTCCCCCAATTTTATATATTAAATTGTACACTGAAGACAGAGAATGAAACTTTTAATTTTAGCTGTGAGAAACATTCACATGGCTCACATATAGTAGACCGCAAGGACAACCCCAACAAATTTCTAAATAGATATGATCATCATGTAGTATAACTCAAATTGAGATAAGGGCAGAAAACAAAACAAACCAAACACCCCACTGCTTGGGTATTTTAAAACTCTGTCTTTAATAAAACCCTGAGGCAAAGGGAAAATCAAAACTAAAATAGATAGACCAGATAGAAAATAACAATAATGACAACACTACACAGAAAGCAGAATCTCTCTGGAAGGCTAGTTGGCAATAGTTACTGAGATTCAGCCCAGTCTGTCCACTCCTGGGTTATTCATGCTATAGCATATTGCACATGTATGAAATAATATATGGAAAAGTATGTCTACTTGCAGCAGCTTTTGGTACTAGGAAAAGATCGGAAGCAACCCAAATTTCCATTATTAGAGGACTGTGTAATTATGATAGGTCCATCCTGGGATACTGTGCAGCTGGTAAGTGTGGGAGTTCTCTCTGTAATGATTAAGAAAAGGTGGCTCAACATTCCTGATAGAGTGAAAAAGCTAAGAGTGTAATGCTGTGTATGGTACACTATCAGTTGTATCAGGGGCTGTTATAGACTGAATTGTCATGCCAAATTTGTAGGTGAAGTCTTGCAAAGTCCTAGCCCTAGAGGTGGCTGTGTTTGGATATAGGGCCTGTAAGGATGTTATTAAGATTAAATGAGGTGGTAAGGGTGGGACCCTAACCCAAAAGGACTGGCGTCCTTGTAAGAGGAGGGAGAGACATCAGGAGTGCACAGGCTAAGGAAAGGCTATGTGAAGACAGGCAGCGATCTTCAAGCCAAAGAGAGTCCTCAGGAGAAACCAGTCCTGCTGACACCTTGATCTTGGACTTCTGGCCTCTAAAAGGTGAGAAATAAATTTCTGTTGTCTAAGCCACCCTGTGTGTGGGATTTTGTCATGGCAGTCCTAGCAGATTAATACAAGAGGGAAGGAAAAATCTGTCTCTGTCAATAGATACAAGAATCAATATAGATAGACCTATAGATATATAGATATCCATAAATGCATTGAGTAATTAAGGAAGAATATTTAAGAAACTGATGGCAGAATACGGCTTAAGGGAGGGAGTTAGTGTCTGAAGCCAGGGGAAAGGAGCTGCTTTTCATTATATACCTTTTGGTTTCCCCTGAACATTATACTATGTACATGTATTTTCATTTAAATGCATGCATTTTCAGAGTGCCTAGGTGGCTCAGTCTGTTAAGTGTCTAACTCCTGATTTCAGCTCAGGTCATGATCCTAGGGTCGTGGGATGGAGCCCCATATCGGGCTCCATGCTGAGCATGGAGCCTGCTTAATTAAGATTCTCTCTCTTTCTCAGCCTAAGTGTCCATCAACGGACGAATGGATCAAGAAGATGTGGTTTATCTATACCATGGAATACTACATGGCAATGAGAAACAATGAAATCTGGCCTTGTGTAGCAACATGGATGGACCTTGAGGGTGTTATGCTTAGCGAAATAAGTCAGGCAGAGAAGGACATATATCATATGTTTGCACTTATAGGAGGATTAGGAGGAACTTAACGGAGGACCGTGGGGGAGAAGAAGGGGTGAAATAGTGGGGGAGAGGGAGAGAGGCAAACCATGAGAGACTCTTGAATGCTGAGAACAAACTGAGGACTGATGGATGTTGGGGGGGAGGGGGGATATGGGCATGGAGGAGGGCACTTGTGGGGATGAGCACTGGGTGTTATATGGAAACCAATTTGACAATAAACTATTTGTAAAAAAAAAATTCTCTTTCTCTCTCCCTCTGCCCCTCTCCCCCACTTGTGCTCTCTCTCTCTCTAAAATAGAAATAAATAAATATACATATTTTCAAATAAAAATATAAGTTATAGGTTTAAAAATTCAGCATCTCCACAATATTCTATCAATGGTTTATATTATTACTTATTTGGGTAATTATAGTAATTATAATCTCTCCCCCCATGCTCTGTATGCATATATATACATATATACACATATAAGGTATATAAGTAGTACATATAGAGATATATACATAATTATATATATTAATTTATATGCTGTATATTATATGCTATACATACATGAGTGAGTAACTGTACTATAATTTATTTACCCATGATAATTGGTCAATACATTTCAAGTGTTTTGTGTATATTTAACCATCTTATGAACAACTTTGTGCATAAAACTTTTCCAGTGGTTGAAATTATTTCATTAATGTTGATTCTCAAAAGTGAAATTTTGGGGTCAAAAAGTAAGATGTTTTACAAAACAATTATTCCTTTAATAACATTTGAGCGGTTTTTTTTCCTGGTTTACAAGGATGCATACATTTAGTGCATAGAATTTGGAGAATACAGAAAAGTTCAAAGAAGAAAATAGAAATCAGGTGCATGCTGAGCATCCAGAAATAAGTGCTCGTAAAATGTTTGCATATTTCCTTCATGTTTTCTCTATGCACATATGTCTGTAGCAGACACGTTGTTAAGGTTTGAAGTTAAGTGTTTTAAGGTACAGGCTCCTATCAATTCACTTAACAAGATTCGAATAAGGACCTCTAAGTATCAAGAGTCAGTGCTCGTATTGCAGTAAAATGGGAATGGGTATCCTTCCTGTGCAGGATGGAGGAACAGTCACCTCACCTTGTAATTGTGCAGCTGACAGTCCCCACAGCAGAGAACACACTGGACAGCAGGACTTTGGCAGCTGGTGATTCCAGGACCCCAAGAGGCATGACAGGGCAAGCGCGGTTGCCCCGTCACCAACACTCTACCTTCCCTGTCTCCCCAGGCTGAGCCGGAAAGGGGCCCTCCACCCCCACCGCAGGGAGCTGTGTAGGCCCCAGAGGCAGGGGGTACTGGCCTGTTCTGCAAGGCGGACGCGATGCTGATGATCCAGAACTCACTGAGGATGCTGCCGAAAGCCAGGTGGGTGTACTGGGAATCCTGCAGCGACACCACCCACGGGAATTCCTTGTCTTTGACCAAACCCTCCTCGGAAGTTTCCATAACGTTGATTTTCTGGATGCCACAACCTGCAGAGAGGGTGTGTGGGGGCCTCACTGCTGCGGCAAGGAGTGGGTGGCCTGTGGCCACCACTGCGGAGTCAGACCTCAGGACCCCTCTCCTGCTGGGTCCCCCCCACTCCTTCCGGCTCTCCATCTTGGTCACCACGAGCTCTACCACCCCCATTTCTTTTCCCAGTGGGTCATCTTCTCCATAAAAGATGCTTGATGGCCTCTTGGAAGCTAAAAATAACCCCTTAGACTATGGATAATCCCTCTCATCTATTGGGCACTTAGCAGTACACTCGAGGCCGTATCTGAAAGCGGTTCTCAAAGTGTGGTCTGGGACCTCTGGGAGTCCTCAGGTTAAAACGGGTTAAAACTCTTTTCATAAGAATACTAAGACAGTCTTTGCTTTCTCACCTTCGTTCTCTCACTCATCTGCGAGTGGAATTTTCCAGAGGATACATGATGTCATCACTGTGATGGCTACCAGCAATGTGTGAACCTGTATATCCTTGCGTTTTTAATTTTTCCCAGTTTTTAATTTCTGATAGGGTAAATTTGGAAAGATATAGCTTCACAGCAAAAATTATTTGGGGGCCCTCCATAATTTTTAAGAGTGTAGAAAAGTTGGAGCACTGCTGATATGTACGACTTCATGGTACAGAGCCAGAATTCAAACTTCATACACCTTCAGTCCCTCACAGTCGCTGTTCCAGCCACATTTCACATCCTCAGATTTGCCCTTGCTGTTCCCTGCCTGGGCAGTTAGACATGCGTGGCTGCCCCGTGTTTGTTTTGTTTGCCAGTGTATCCCTACGGGTCCATAGTAAGTGCTCAATAAATCATCTGGTCAATGAGCAAAAGCATTTTGCTTTATCAGGCGCTCCCTGAAGTCCAGTCCTCAAGGGGTTAAAAGGTCCCACCAGGTTGAGGCTGATTCTGGCCCATTCGAGCCTGCTTGGCCTTTGCCTTTCTAGGCCCTCAAGTGAGTTGCCTCCAACTGGACAGTCTCTTGGGTCTGGACATTTGTTTCAAATGAGAGTAAAATGTTGATGCATGTTTTAAATAAACATTCTCCCCTTGCCCATCCTGGTTTTGCCCAAGATGCTGTATCACCCTGTATTGAAAAATAAGTCTTTATTCAGAGAATCATGGAAAGTGTAAGAAAAATAGAGCAGGCAGGACCCTTGAAACTCAGAGCCCCAAACGGAGTGAGCTAAGCCTCCTACTTTGCAGGCACCGTTATGGATGGCAAACGCATGGGCTGTCTCGCTGTCTGTGGCTGCTGATCCCCTCCCTGTCCTGACAGCCCTCATGGCCAGGGGTGCCTGGCTCTTCCTCAGTAGTCAGAGTGGAGTGCAGGGATGCTCAGCCTGGCTGCACATTCCGTCCACCCGCTGCCCAGCAGTCCCCGGCCCTTGGGGACAGGGCCTGGGCACTGGCATTTTAAAAAGCCTCCCCAGGTAATTTCTAATGTGTATTCAGGTTTGAGACCTACTAGTGTTTGGGGAAGGCCCTGGATGCACTGTCCCTCATACCGTTGGCCCCTATCCTGTGAGGACTGGGAAAAGCCACTTCACCTCTCTGGACCTTAGTTTCCTCTTTTGAAATGTGGGGTAACACACCTCTTGGAGTTGTAAAGATCATATAAGGTGAGATTATGGGAAGGTGGTTTGCAAACTGTACCCTCATGACTGATAATGCTAATGGATGATTCCTTTTTTTTTTTTAAATGTAAACCACTACTCTGGTTGCTGTTTATAAATCCCAAACCACAAGTACCCAGTACTTGTTTCTAAATCAGTGGTCCTTGGGGCCCCTGAGTGGCTCAGTAGGTTAAGCATCCAAATCTTTATTTGGTCTCAGGTCACCATCAGGTTAGGGTTTGTGAGTTTGAGTCCCACATCGGGCTCTGTGCTTACAGTGCAGAGGCTGCTTGCAATTCTCTCTTCCTCTCTCTGCTTTTCCCCAACTCATGCTTTCTCTCTCTCAAAATACATAAATAAACTTAAAAAAAATCTGTGGTCCTGGGTGGTAGGTGTCACATGGTGGGCACCACTATCCAGGTGTGGGTCAGATCATGGGTGGCTCCGTTTTCAGCCATTTATTCAATTCATGGGACATGGGCAATCTATAGTGAACAAGGCACTAACCAATCTTCCCCAAATCAAAAAAGCCTACTGGTGGGTGATGACTTTTGCTTTCTCGAAGCTTGAGCTGACTAGTTTATAAAGCCCTTGGAAGGCCAGGATACAATAAGGAAATTTGAGCTAGAGATGAAAGGTTTGCCCTGGGTCACTTGCCTGAGGCTATTTAAGAGGGAGGAGAGACCCCTTCTGTTTTGTGGGTACCCCTTGGTCTCTTTGGGGCTGCAAAGTGGTGGAGTCCTCCCTTTGATGTGTGCTGTGGGGGTGTTGGATGCTCCGTCCTGTCTCCCATCTGACTCCAGGAAGATTGGACAGAGGTAACTGGGATGGCAGCCAGACAGGAGAAGCTCACTGTGGTCAGGGGCCACCTCTCCACCTGCCCCTTCCTAGTCTGAGATTTTGGTTCTGGATGACCTGGAGGTCAGGGAAGGACTGAGGCCCAAGCAGGCTCCAAGGGACCTTCTTGCTCCTGGGACCAGGAATTGAGGGTCAGTTGGTTTAATGATAAAAGGTTTCTTTGGAACCACAATGCTTAAACAGAAACAAGGGGAGGGCCTGGTTCCCAAGTGCACCAGATGCGCCACAGGCCTCCACCTAGGCCTGGGGAGGACCTCCCCCATCTGATGGTTCTGGGGCATGAGCCCCAGGAAGAGCAGGTGGGGGTTCTGAGTGGGCTGTCCCGTAACCTGAGGCTTGCTCTCCTCATGGCACTGTCACCCGAGGGCCAGCTCTGAAGTCAGACTGCTGAAGCCAGTTTTTCCTGCACCCATGGCCCACACTCCCTTTCTTTGCCTGACTCCCACCACCAACACCTGCTCTCCGAGCAGAGTGCGAGTCCCCTTCCCCCTGAGTCCCTCTCTGGACATGAAGGGCCATGTACAGGATTCCTGGACAGTTCCCCTGCCATGTCACAGGATCTGCTGACAATGTCCCAGAAAAGAGGAGCACACTCACTGGCAGAAGAATGGGAGACATAGAGCAGTATCAAGAGCATCCGTCTCATCTCTGCCATCCCCAGAGCGAACCGCAGCAGACACCATGGGCAGCTGTGAAAACACGACATCCCAACGCACAGGCTTTCCCTCTCCTCCCCGAAGTGGCGATCCCCCCACCGCATCAGAGGCCCTGCCTCTTTCCTTTCCCCTGACAGAGCTTGCAAGACCTGGGAAACAGACCTGTCACGTCCCAGTTGCTCAGTTCTGCGCAGTGAAGGGCTCAGGGACCAGCTGTCCAGCACCAATATGGTTAGGATTGGGAAGAGAGCCCACGGAGAGGAGGCAGCCCCTGTGTGTCAGTTTTCTGCTCGATCCAGCCAGGGTCCCCAAGCTTCCCAGAGAGCTGGGTCTCAGAGGAGGGTTGTCTTTTGACTCATGGAATCTGACCCCTTTCTTAACTCTGTAGCCATAAAATGCTGGTGAAAGTAAAAGCAGGGTTTACTGCAAGCCCATCCCTGGCTCTGCCCGCCTTGCCAGACTCAGCTGGCTTAAATGATGCTGGGATCATTTCACTACTGGCCACTTATACTTTTACATCGTAACTGCCCAGTATGTAGCTCCGTTAATTTGTGCAATAACCCTACAAGGTAGACAGTATCACTGTCCCCATTTTACAGATTCAGAAACTGACATTCACACACTGAGAAGCCTGCCCAAGGCCACACAGCTGCCAAGTGGTGGAGCTGGGATTTGAACTGGGGTCTGAGTTCAAAGCCGATGCGTGTCTCCCCATCCACCACACCATCAGCCCCACCCTTGCCTCAGACTGTGCACAATAGCCGTTCTCAGTCACCATGTTCCGCTCATGACACTGGATGTTTCTTGTTGTCAGGATGGCTCTCAGACTCTTCTGTGAAGTGCTACTGCCAAAGGAGAAATGAACTCACTCTGACAGCAGAGTTCAACAGAGGGATTCCTTCCACCACCTTGGGAAGAATGTTCCATTGTGGCATCACAGTTACCATGGTGTCACCAAGCAAATGTCTAGACATGGAGACCTAGGAGGAGCCAGGATGAAAAGCCTGCCTGTTTCCTAAACTTGGCAGGACTATTCTGGAAGCCTGGCCTTCCCCAAGTCTGGCCGAGAAGACATCCCTTTTGCTAGATCACAAAGCCCTGTCCCGTTGCGGCCGTGGTCTGTCTACTTCTTCAGCACCCGCCCTGTGTCTACACAACTTTGTCAGACTGGATGGAGGAAGCCCACGACTAAACTGGGTCTGGTTTTTCCAGTCCCCAGAAGCTTTCTTACATTCTCAGTGTGGTTTCCTGAACCCCAGTTTCCCCAGCCCTTTGACTTGCTGGTCCCAGGGAAGCCACCAGACTGGCTCTGCCAAACCATAGGGCCAGATGGGATCTGCTCTCCAGCCACTGTTCTCAGCTTTGGCTTCAGCACAAATGCCACAACTCGACAGAAGTGTTGACAACATTGTGGTAAGATGCAACTCCGTGGAACCAGAGAGCTCACAGGCTGCTGGCTCAGTCGCATGAAAGATATTTATTGGATGGTAGACGAGTGGCTGATGGAAAGAAAGATCACTGAATAGAAAGCAAAGCGTGACTCAGAAAGGGGTCGCTATTGCCTTCCCCTTGAGATTCCCCTGATGTCCTGCATGCCTTACAATCATCCATCACCCTTAACAGTGAGCAGGCGTTGGCTTCTGCTGGGAGAACATAATGGCAAAGATTTTTGGCAGTGGGAGAAATGGGAGTTGACCCTTCAATCTGTTCATGATGTCAGTCTGACATCGTGAGTGTCAAAACACTTTCATGTGTGTTTCCTCATTGACAATTCACCCTGCCAAGATGAAGGAATTACTTGAGCTTTCCCGATGGGAACGTGGTGGCTCAGAGTGAGGAAAGTCACTTCCCTACAGCCATACATCTGGAAAGTACCAGGGGAAGGACTGGAGTCCACATCCTTCCAACTCCAGGGTGGTGAGCTGTATACAAGTTCGCATTTCTCAGGCTGGACCCCATGATGCCTGATAGATGACCAAAGCAGAAGTGGTGATTAGGGCAGAGCCAAGCACTGCTCTTTAAAAGTGGGGATGCTGGGGCACCTGGGTGGCTCAGCCGGTTAAGCATCTAACTCTTGATCTCAGTTCAAGTCTTGATCTCAGGGTCGTAAGTCCAAGCCCCACATTGGGTTCCATGTTTGGCAAATCTTCAACTTCTCTGGGTTACTTAATGCAGACCATCTGCTTTAGGTAAACTTTTAAAGGACCCATGATGATTTTGTAAATAAGTAATTATTTAAGGTTAGTAATAATAATAGTTTTATATATTGGAAAGGAAATTCATTTGCAACTTTATGCCAAGGGCTGTATATCCAGGATTGTGACAGCATGGAACATATGTAGTTTCTCAATGGGTCGCTTTTTATTTTTACTAAGTTAGAAAATCCTAACTCTTAGTTAAAGGGTGTCTGAAATTGCAGCGAGTTCTGGAAACTGGCAGATAGTTCTGAATATTCAGATTGATTGTGGACTCCAAAATCATGGAGAGACTTTTTTTTTTCCACTTTGCTGATGACTACTCTTGTTTATTCATGGGCCTGCCCATCGTGCTCAAAGGCTGGGGTGTTGAAAATTTCTTCTGGGTAGCTTGAAAGTTTCATCCTGGGGGATAGTGATGGTTGGATTTCTAAATCACTTGGTTGCTTTTCCCTCTGGAAAATATTTTTTCATGTTCTGTTGCAGTTTTGGAAGAGGGTGTTTAAACATGCCAATAAACTTTACTGCATTTCAAAATCTCTTCTCTGATGAAATTAACAGAACAACAACAAAAAAAATCAAGTACTGCTTCATTTACGTATCATACATTTTCCAAGTGTCGCCTGCTACTGATCAATGGTTTGTTGAATTGTTGATCAAAATGCCTGCTAGCCCAAATATTTCATAGTTATTGTGCAGAGCATAGTATGACTTTGATAGTGATGCAATGTCTTACAGAGTCTTCTGAGCAGAAATTTTCAGAATTCTTTGAATTACTACATTTTCTTTGAATTACTACGTTTTCTTTGAATTACTTTTTGTTACTATTGGCACTCACTGAAAGCTTCTCAGCTGTGGTGTGACGTCTGCTCTGAAGAGTACAAGTTTGAGTCAGGTTTTTGCCATTTAGATATCTTCTCCACTTAGCAAAAAATTCAGGAATTTCTTGGAAAGCATTATAATGCCCTCATTCTAGGAAAAATATATTTATAACTTATTTACCAAAGAGGTCATCGTGCTTGATTGAAAATGGCAAAAATGTTTTAATGGTTTCCTTATTATCAGATATCTATGTTGGACTTGCAGGTTTTTCATTAGATAGATAATCCACAGAATGTTTTTATTTTCCTAAAAGTGTTTAAACAGAATGTCATGTTTATCATATTCTTTTTTTTTTATGTTTTATTTATTTCTGAGAGAGAGAGACAGCATGAGCAGGGGAGGGTCAGAGAGAGAGGGAGACACAGAATCTGAAACAGGCTCCAGGCTCTGAGTTAGCTGTCAGCACAGAGCCCAATGCGGGGCTCAAACCCACAAACTTTGAGATCATGACCTGAGCCGAAGTCAGACGCTTAACCAACTGAGCCACCCAGGCGCCCCATCATATTCTTAACCCCTAATGAAAGAGCTGGTGTGCAAGAGTTTTTTAATTTTTATCTAAATGAAATGCATTTCATTAGCCACTGTCCCCTAAAGGTCAAATTACCCAACCAACAATTTTGAGATTGGCTGATAATGAACATTTGTACCACATGTAGCTCTATTTATTAATATAAACTTCCCCAATGAAAAAATTTCCGTTTTAAGTTATTCAATTTAAAAGAAACATCTAGGAAACTTATTTCCTTATATCATCTAACTTGCAACACGAGAGCTAAAACATTACCATTATCTTGTGCCTACCTACATATTCCACCCTCTCTCTCATTCTCTTGCTCTGTGTTTAACAAGTTTATGCGTAGCTATGTATGCCTCAACTACCGCTAGAGGCTCTTTAGAGTGTATGTACTTAGGAATAGGAATTGTTTTCCAAGATGGTTGAACCATTTCATATTCCTACCAGCGGTGTAAGGTGATCCTGCTGACTCATGAATGTCTTTTCCAGTATCTACTACTGTAGCCTTAATTTATGGTCAATTCAATGGCTATAAAATGATATCTCATTGCTAAATTGCGTTTCCCTAAATACTGGTAAGGTTAAGGATGTTTTCTCACATGTTTGTCACCTGCACAAGTTAATGCTTGTGTCTTTTGTCCTTTTTCCTATTGGGTTGCTTGCTTTTCTCTTATTGAGATGCAGAAATTCTTAATACATTCTGAATATTGTTCACTATATGTATTGTGAATACCTGCTACCAATTTCTGGCCTATGTTTTCTGTTTTAATTTTTTTATGATGTTTTCATATAAACAGAGGTCTTCATTTTCGTTTTAATGAAGTCAAATGCATTAATATTATGTAGTTCGGGCTCTTTTGTGTCTTGTTTAAGAAACCTTTCCCTAGATTCACATCAGCAATCTATTCTACCAAATCATCTTCTTCAGTCTTTAAAGTTTTGTTTTCACCCAGAAGTCCTCACCTCAATCTGGGATGCTTTTTGGTGTGTACGTGGTACGGATCCACTCTTTCTCACACGGATAGCTTCATTTCTCCACAGATCTCCAGTGTGACTCAAACGTACATGTGCCTGGGACTGTTTCTGAGATCTCTCTCCTGTTACATTCGTCACTTTGTTCCTTGTGCCAGTTCCACACAATCTTAAGTACTGCAGCTTTGCAAAGTCTTACTGTTTAGGAAGGCAAGTGTTTTTTTCTTTAGTAATGTCTTAGCTATTCTTGGCCTTTGTACTTTTATATATTTTAGGATCAACTTGGCACTGCCACCAAAAACAAGCAAACGAATCCTTCAAAGCTTTGGATTAGAATTGCATTATATCAATCGTTCAATTTGTGGCTACATTAACGTCTTTATAATATTGAATCTTCTTGGGGCGCCTGGGTGGCTCAGTCAGTTAAGCATCCGACTCTTGGTTTCGGCTCAGGTCATGATCTTGTG